CTGTTTTATATTAAACGTTGCATATTTTACTGATACCGATTATTTCAGTAGTTTACAACACGTCTTACCAATCTCCTCGACTACAAGAGAAATCAGACCATCATCAATAAAAACTCGATTGCCTGGTACCACAACTTTAGTGATATTTTTGTAGTCAACATACAAAACGTCCACTGAACACTTCTCCTTATAGCTGTCATCAACAGTAACTTTAATTTTGGCTCCGATCTTCAGTTCTATTTCAGCTGTAGCTCCCTAAGTATTCAAAAATAACATTTAATGAATAAAGTTTTTCTTTCTTTGCAAAAACCGATTTCCTAAGTATGTTTTATTATGACAGCAGAGAATCTAATCATCACTTTTAGCCTAACATAGTTTCATTGAAATTTATGCGACACCACCGATTTTCAGAAAAACAATAAATCACAATTTTAACTATCTAGGGAACTAAATAATCATTTTGGGGATGCAAAAGCATATGGCAACCTGCATGGTGAACAGATAAAACTTTTATAATTTAATGATCAGTCACAGATACACTGGGTATACGAGATTCTTCATACAAGTATTGATTTTCCTTACAAGATATTTTATAAAAAAGCTATACATAGATTAATTACCAATTAAAGTAATAACTTAAAAGTTAACATTCCTAATCTGAAAATGTATTTACGACAGATAATCACTTCTGCACACAGAAGTGCTTTTTCCCTCACACGTTTACCTACGAGACTTGCATGCCACTAGCCTTGGGCTAACTCTCATTTAAATTCACGTTTAATGTGAACTGCACTGGTGCACGATGGCATGCCACAATAACCCTCCACCAATAGGAGAGTAACACAACCTCCATTTGCAGTAACTCCCCCTATGAACTTGCACTCATGATTACTTCATTTCTAGATGAAGCAAGGAAAAACAAAGGTGCACCAAAAGTAGAGAGGTCGGGTGAGTATCTATCAGAAATACATTTTCAGATTAGGAAAATGTTAACTTCCAAGATAACTCACCTCTGCATGCAGAAATGCTAGAATCCCATGCTAAAATGGTGGAAGAGCTGGTAAAAGTATGTACCTAAAAGAGTTCCATTCAGAAAGTACCAAATGGTAGCCCAGAGCACGACACATGATGGCAGGGGCTTCATAAGAACAAACCAGTGGGAGGCCACACATTGCCTCAACCAAAGTATATGCTTTGCCCCAGATGAAAGGGTGGGAAAGACAAAAGAACCATGAGTGTTGTAGGGATGGGAACCATGAGTGTTGTAGGGATGGGAACCATGAGTGTTGTAGGGATGTGATCAAGATGAAACAAGTACCCACACGAAGGTGGTAAGCAAGCCAATAAGGTATAGTGTGGTTAAGGTGTTATCAAATTCTAATGGACAGTCTCTGGCTGCAGGAGGAGAGCACTGTAGGTATTTGAGGGGTAATCTGTATTACACTGACAGTGTCACCACTGCCCTACTTATCACTGTATTGTGCTAAGCCCAACCAGCGAGGATTATCCATGGTTCACCATTCCAACATTGAGGAACTAGTAAGTAGCAAAGATCTACTGTGCTCCACTTGAAGAAGGGTGGAAAGGAGAATTCAAGTCGGGGAGACCCAGAGAAGTACCTGGATCCTCATCAAACAATCAGTCGGAAAGGATTTTACTGGACATAGGGCAATAGATGATCACAAAACTCTATGTTTAAAAGCTGGCAAGTATGAGCCAAAAATGTGAGTAGTCAGTTCACTGGTACTGGCTTTCTCCATGATAGTCCTAGAATTCCTATGGTCTGGATAAGACAATTGAGTAAATCCATATATCATGAGAATACTTCAAGTAGTCTTGCAAAACACCCTATTTTATAGTGGGCACTGGTAGAATCAGGGTGGATTGGCTGAACACTTTCTGGTATCCTAGATCGATCCATTTCAACAAAAAGGGAGAGATATGAAAAGGAAAACATACCTGCCCATTTCAAAGGCAGTGGGTGGTTTGAAGTAGAGGGACCAGTGGAAATCAAAATTCTGTGGGAGACCAAACAGTCAGATGGTGAAGAGAATGAGCAAGTAACATGTGGATAATCATTCATATGCCCACCTAGAGGATCTTGTCCTAGGGCCAGTGAAGATGAGATGCAAGAGAATAAGAAAGGTGATGAATAGAATGTGAAGAAATGTGAAATAGCCTGCAAGTATCCACCTTCAGAGAAGAATAAACAAACCCGAAGAGTCGACAGACCCATTCAATAAGAGAAGGATGAGAGAGGTCCCAGAGTAGGAACAAATGATGGCAGACCCCCAAAAGAGAGAAATACATGATAAGTAACATTGAACAGCCTAAACAGGATCCAGAAGCTGATCTGGATTCAAACAATCATAGACATGAAACAGGAAGAAAAAGAAAAAGGACAATTATCGTACCGATTGGGAAAAGTCTGAAGAAGAAAAGACTGGTCTAGGTAGAGGAGTATATAAGTACGGTGGAAGAGTACAAGAGACATCAATAGCATAGAGAACCAAACGATGGGAATCATAGATGAAAAGGAGGAAATAAGATGCGAGAGAAAGGGGATACAAAGAACAAAATGCCAACGGCTCAAACAGAGCATGCAAAACTACATTAAGGACCCAGTCAAACATGGGTGTCAGGCAAGGAAGATGATAAAGAAAGAAGGACTGCAAAAGAATGAAGAGAACACGGGAAGAAAACACACTGTGCCACCAGGAAGTGCAAAATGTAGGGGACAACGTCACCCAAAAACCAGCAATGGTGGAGACTGATAAATCATAGTCAAACAGCCAATTAAAAAAGGCAGAAAGGTGGAATACAGTAGGACAGCTACAGATGGATCAACGATGCAAGACCAATACTGTCATTGAAAGTGGAAGGGCAATAGAAATGTGACAAAAAAGAAGGTTACACGATAGGATAGTCTGGTCTGATGGGTAATGGACCAGACAAATCCCACATGTAAAAATGGAGAGATGACAACTTTTGATGAAAAAAGGATGTGTGAGATTGAAGCAATAGTGAGAGGACTTTGAGAACATGAGGGGTGTCTGGACATCAAGTGAAGAAGCAAAGAAAACCAAGGATGAGGCAGCCAGGGAATGAGAGGAGTGACGTGTATAAGTCGAAGACACAAGGGAGTAGTGGAAGAGAAAAATAGGCACACAGAAAAAGATAAAACCAGTACTGGCCAAGAGCTTCAATAGCCAGAGTTGAAAGAAGAACAGAGAGCAGAAAAAAGGAAGACTGGAGTAAGGAGATGGCAAAAGCATCTATGAAGGGCATGCTCAACCAAGAGTAAACCCAACGAAAGACTTTGTGGTGAAGAGACCACTCCTTGGGTAAATACAATCCAGTTGACAGTTGTGAATGAGCTCAGAAGAGCCAAGGTTCTGGAATGGTTGCCTCCCTTGATGATAGATACAAGAAACAATTGTGGATATATCAGAATGGAGCATGACCTATTGATCTGCCAGAAAATATGAGCAGTGAGAAAGTAGTCAAGCATGTTGATGTGGAGCAAACACTTGTTCGGTGTTCAAATGCCAAAAGTAATGTCATCATCCAGAGATGCACCTCAATCTGAGAGGGGAAGCACCCGTGAAGAGAAAGATCCAACTTTGGAGTTAAGGTAAACATCAGAAGTAGAATGGGCATAGTCCGGTCACCATGACAATTCTTCGAGGAGAGAGGAAGTTCATAAAGAGGAAAATGGAACCTGAGAAAGACTTCTTTAGATCTGCAAGGACCACTGGAAGAAGTACACATATTTGCACCCAAAAGAAATAAGGGGTTTCAGGAAGCCAGAGTCCTCAAAAGCAAAAGAACCCCTCATGCAGGATGAGAATGTGAGGCACAAATCTTAGTGACCAGATATGCCATAGCTTGCAGGTGAAGAGGAGAAGGCTAAACTTGGATGAGACAAGAGATAAAAAAAATTACCAAAAATACCAAACATTGAGTGGACATGAAACAGAACTTAGATAAGTCCCAACCTGAGTAGCTACATGTAAAAGAAGGGAGGTGGTAGAAGAGGAAACCATCCAAGAATGGGCCAATAGATGTAAATAGTCCAAGAAAAGGAACACCAGCCCAGGGCTGTAAATGTGGTGAGTAAATACAATGAATACAAAATGAGCTAATGTTAAGTTGAAGGGAATAGCAAGAATGGGAAGATGCAAAAAACAAAACCAAAAAAATGGATAGAACATAGAAACCAAATGGAGCATTGGTTGAGAGTGTCTGACACACTGACTATGGACAACCACATACTTGGTAAAAAAAAAAGACAGAGGGGATTGATGGGAGGAAAAATAAAGAAAAGGGAAGAGAAGCGAAAAAAGAGACCGACAGTCGGAAAAGAGATGGGTACCCACAAGATTGTACATGTTTGATAGTCACTGACAAAAAGAATAATGAAGTAGACTTCTGGTAGAGGCAAGAAAACAAAAAGAAGGCCTGAAATCTGGAATGTGAAGGTTACGAGTAGACTGATCTAGACGAGGAACAGAAATAAATGGCAGGCTCAAGAAAAAGAATAAACCTGGGATGATAATGAGGACAGAAGCCATAAAATGTCTGCCCAGTACACTAGGGAGAAAAGAACACCACTCTAGACATCTAGGCAGAGAAAGGGAGCCAGACAAATAACGAAGTACAGAAAAAAAGAGCAAGAAGTACAGTAACAAGGAATGGAACCAGAACCAACAAGTCCCAAGAGCTGGGGAACAAAGTAAGGATGTATAGGGCAGAAGAAATGAAACGGGCCAAGCCAGTAAAGAGAAGGGAACAAAATTCAACAGAAACCTACCTGAAGCATGAAGAAGTGTTGCAGGTAAAGGTAAAGTTAGAAGAAGAAAATGCACGAGGGTAAAGAGAAAAAGACAAAAATGTGAAAATATGGAACCAGAAAGTGATACAGAAGGTAAGGAGCCCAATCCTCAAGCTGGCCAAACAGACATCACAGACAAGGAGCCAAGAAAAGAAGAGGAAAGAAGTCTACAAGTCAGGAAAAAAGGACAGAGAGATGAGGTCTTTGCATATGAGAGATGAGCTATTAGAGAAAGGAAATAGTATAAATCCTAATAACAAGAAAAGAAGAAAGACAAGATAAACCCCAAGAATTGTAGATCATGAAATAAAAAAATAATAAAGAACACAGACAAAAAATAAGGAAAGGAAAATAACTGAGAATGAAACCCAGAAAGAGACTGGAAAGTGAAGGTTGTTCCACAAATGGTAAGGTACGAACCAAAGCAAATCAGGCTAAATTTGTAGTTCAATACCTCATTCTTGATTGAGGAGAAAAAATTAGGCCAACGGGGCAGGACTAGGAGGCCTAATAAGCATGTGGTAATCCACAAAACATTGAACAATGGCTGCAACAACCCAGACAGTTAACCCTTTCGAGACAGGTCGCAGGTGAAAGATCATGTCATCTT